TACATTTCAACCAACACTATGCTCCTAAGATAAATGACGTATCATAACTTGACAAATAGCTCCCCCTGGAAAGAAAAAGGTGCTACATTTCAACCAACACTATGCTCCTAAGATAAATGACGTATCATAACTTGACAAATAGCTCCCCCTGGAAAGAAAAAGGTGCTACATTTCAACCAACACTATGCTCCTAAGATAAATGACGTATCATAATTTGACAAATAGCTCCCCCTGGAAAGAAAAAGGTGCTACATTTTTTAATAAACACCATCTTTATACCACACATGGTGATCAGCTCGTTACAATTTGACACAATGGCTTATCTGGTTCATGTCGTGATATTTTTTTCTCATTTTGTGAAATGTTTTCCTAACTTATACATGTTCAGTAAGTAAGGCGGTCAACTTTTAGTATCCACTTCTCCTGGTCATAAGTTGTTGGGTTGAATTTGTGTTGGTTGTTGTAATGTTTTGGTAAGAGTTTTACGGCGCTCACAACTGCATAAAGTCGTACGTATGAGCGAGCGGGACTCAAGTTGCTTGTTTTTCACATTTCACATTTTCAGTTTTTGGTGGGAATTAATTTTGAATTGTTCACGGGTTGAAACTGAAACCTACTCTTATCGGTCTTAACGATTTTAGAACCACTAAGGGATCTTTAAGGTGCACAACTTGCACACGGGCCTCCGAGATTTTTTCATCCTTATCCAAGAAGGCTAGGATTTTCGATCTTACCTACCCTAAGTTCAAGCTCAAGGGTGTGGCTGAAAGACAGCAGTAAGAAGCCAGGAGTAGCGGTAGAAAGAGTCAGGAGCCTAGAGGAGAGGGGGGAGGGGGGATAGGCAGAAAGTGTGGATGGAAGCAGATGAAAGAACATGAGCAGGGAGAGGAAAAGAGGTGACAGGTGAACAGTTTAGAGAAGACACATTTTCTTCACTGTCAGGTTTCGAACCAGGGACCTATTGAATGAGAGGCGTTTATTGTACCAGTAGGCCAGGAGAGCCCCTTTTCCAATGTAAATGTCATTTCCATTCTTATTTCATATATATATACATATATGCTTATAAAGTGGTTAGCTTTAAAAAACATGCCCTTGTGGAGAAAAGTTTTGTTACAAATATTAATTTGGTCAAACGTCATTGTTATTTAAATCATATATTATGGGTTAGTATTATGTTGAAACTTTGAGATATGTCTTCTTTTGTCTGGATAAACGTTTTTGGGTTTTTGTTTTTTTCTATTTTTTTTTTTTGGTCAAACACCATAATATTAGATTATATTGTTGGTATGATGGGAAACTGAGACCAAAAAAATCAACAAACAAACCAAATCCCCCTCCAC